GGAAACACAACGTGGTATAGACACAACAGAGAGATAATTAAAAGTTAGCAAAATTATATGCAAAAGTATGGTGGTTATCATTGGAAAAATCAAACAAAATAAAAAGCTTAGTGTCCTTTTATGGTAAACACGAGTTTAAAGGCTAATTTGGGCCAGTAACCTCCTGCCGTGCTTCTTCTTAATATTCGAAATATGTCAACCTTTGAAATCTCTATATTACACTTACTAGTTATGAAGAAAACATAGTCGTAACTTTTCACCAGAGCGCAGTTTGTGTATCGTGATGCATAAATTATGTCAAAATTGTGAAACCAAAAACAACACGTAGATCACTATTAACAACAAATTCTGTACACCCAGAACTTCAAGAATTTGGAGAAATTATCTCAATTCTTTATAGTAAACATTGCCATGGTAGTGAACATAAACATTGGAGTATATAATGTCACGAAGACGATAAAAAAAAAAATTCAACATTTACCATTTACTTACCAGAAACTAGGACAGGAGGGCAGCCAAGGCAGGTAACCACACACTTGTACAGTATATGCCAAACCTTACTGTTAATGCTGCCTAGCTACATCACTCTCATACACTCTAGTAGCCACATCTTCAATTAATCATTATATTATTTAACATACTAAAATATTTTTTTTTATTAATGAGAATACAATGTGGTCACTTATCTATGACTCATGAACAATGATACCATCAAAATCAAAATTAATGGATTTCTAACTTCATTTATAAATTGAAATTATCTTACAATCATGCTCTCCCTGTTGTCTGAGTTTTTCGAAAATACTTGACTATTTTCCATTAATTTTCGTCAGGGAGCCCCTGCAGAGACGTAGGCATTTTGGTAAAGGAATACAAATTCGGAGGATTTAGTTAAAATAAGTCACTTTGACGTTTTTTGGGAGGTTATCCTGGATAATTTACACAGGTTACGAGGTATGATAATTATAGTGATGAGTACCAGTACCTAAATGCAGTTATTTACTAAGGATTAGCGACCACTGGATATGGCGTTATAGTGGTACACTCTGTAATCATTATTTAACTACATGTAAACCACACAACAACCAAATTCTGTATATTCAACATTGTAATCTTTATATTATTATTATTATTATAATCAAGGGGGAAGCGCTAAACCCGGAAGATTATACAGCGCCTGGGGGGGGGATGTGGGTAAGAGCTTTCTGGGCTTTAATTCCCGGGGAACTGGAGAACAGATTCCAATTGTGAAAGAGATAAGGACCTACATTGCAAACATTGGATATCTTTATTGTAGTAGACGGTTGTCGCCATCCAGTGGCTTTATCATTACAGTTTCTAGGAAAACATAATTAGGAAGGACAGTAGAACTATATACAAAAGATGAGGTAATCAGTCCTCGGCCTTGGAGTTAGGGCCGAGGGGGACTGATTACTCATCTTTTGTATATAGTTCTATATCTTCCTATATGTTCCTTGAATCTGTATTGGATAAAGCCCATGGATGGCGAAACGTACTACAATAAAGATATCCTGAATGTTGCACTGTGTCTTAACTTTCATATTGTCTAGGTAGTTTATACTTTCTTGCACACAGATCCAATCCCTAATCAAGAGCCATCACCAACATCAAGGGAGCTTCCTTGAGGGGTGTAATCTTTATAGAGAATAAACTAGAATTAGAATTTGAATTTGAATGGTAAGAAAAGGGGTGTGATCGCGGAAAGTTACTGAAATTGGTATGTGAGTTGAATAAAATAAAAAAAAAAACGGACGTGGAGGAAAACACTGGGGACACAGCCATTGTCATCCCTTATAATAATAATAACAAAAATTATATAATAATGATAATAATAATAAAATTATAATCAATAATAATAATTATCTTTATTATGTTCTTGTGAATGGGTGTGAGTTAGGCCTGCCTCGCATGGGGCAGTAGGCCGCCGCAGTGCTCCTTCTTATGTTCTGGTTATACAGAACATTTCGGGCAACTTAGGTTAATCTTGTCCTACCAGCATGCGTCTCACAAACAGTCTGCTAACACCAGGTACCTATTTGCTGCTAGGTGAACAATGAGCGGGCTAAGGAAACGTTTCACCCGTTCCAGGGATCATCCTGGACCGTCGTGTATGAGCTGTAAGTTTATTTAGGCAGTACACATGTACATGAATGGTATACACTACCGAAAATATGAAAATTACACACAAGATGCAACATCTGGGTATGTATACCGGTAGGCAGGTCAAAGTCACCTATGGCTAAGTTTATGGCCAAAAGCAATCAGGTCCAAGCACATCAATTAAGAAGATGGAGCACAAAACATCAGCGCTCAAGCAAGATCTAAATAGATTACCTGGAGTTTACCTGGAGAGAGTTTCGGGGGTAAAAGCCCCCGCGGCCCGGTCGTGACAGGCTGCCTGGTGGAAGACAGCGCCTAGATCAACAGGCTGTGCTGCTGGCTGCACGAAACCAACGTACGAGCCACAGCCCGGCTGATCAGGAACTGCCTTTGACATTAAAATGGTATAAAATTCCGACAGGTGTAGGTAAGTACACTTGCAACAGGTTAGGTATCTTTATTATGAAAGTTTCGCCTACACAGTTAGGCTTCTTCAGTCGGTGTACAGAAGTTGATAGAAGCAGAAGATACTTGAAGACGTGTATCAGTCCATCACCTTATAGTTTTGAGGTGGGTTCAGTCCCTCAGTTGGAGAAGAGCATTGTTCCATAGATGAAACAATATTGTTTTCATACTATGGAACAATGCTCTTCTCCAGATGAGGGACTGACCACCTCAAAACTTTAAGGGTGATGGACTGATTACATCGGTCTTCAAGTTATCTTCTGCTTCTATCAAAACTTTTATGTACTCGACTGAAGAAGCCTACTGTGTAGGCGAACGTTTCATAATAAAGATACCTTAACTGTTGCATATGTGTCTTACCTAACAACCTGTCGGTATTTTATACCATTTTAATGTTCAAAGGCTGTTCCTGATCAGGGGGCTGTGGCTCGTACGTTGGTTTGGTGCAGCCAGCAGCAACAGCCTGGTTGATCAGCGCTGATCACCAGTGAGGCCAGGTCACGGACCGGGCCGCCGGGGGGCGTTGACCCCGGAAAACTCTCTCCAGGTAAATCAGGTAATCTATTTAGATTCTGCATGAGGCTGATGTTTGTGCTCCATTCCTTCGAAAAAGTTGATGTGACTTGGACCTGATTGGCTTTGGACAGTACCCTTAGCCAGTAGGTGACTTTGACCTGCCTACCGGTAAAATCATACCCAGATGTTGCACAGTGTTTAATTTTAATATTTCGTTAGTGTATTCATTCATGTACAGTGTGTACCTGTACCTAAATAAACTTAAGCTCATACACTGACGGGTCCAGGATTGATCCTGGAACGGGTGATGGAAAACGTTTCCAACACAACCATTTTCCTTAGGCCCGCTTTGTTCACCCATAGCAGCAAAAGGTTCATGGGTGTTAAGAAGACTGTTGTGAGTCGCATGCTGGAGGGACATCAGATTAACCTAAGTTGCCCGACATGTTCTGTACATAACCAGAACATAAGAAGGAGCACTGCGGCAAGCCTACTGGCCATGCCGTGGCAGGCCTACTCACACCAATTCCACAAAGAAACATAATAAAGATAATTATTATTATTGATTATAATTTTATTATTATTATCATTATTATTATTTTTGTTATTATTATTTAAGGGATGACAATGGCTGGGTCACCAGTGTTTCCTCCACGTCTTATTCAACTCACATACCTATTTCAGTAACTTTCGTCGTGCTCACCCCTTTCTTACCATTTCAAATTCAAATTCAAATTCTAAGTTTATTCTCTATAAAGATTACACCCCTCAAGGAAGGCTCCTTGATGTTGGTGAGGGGCTCTTGATTTAGGGAATTGGATCTGTGTGCAAAGAAAGGTATAAAATACCGACAATATGAAAGTTAAGGACACATGTGCAACATATGGATATCTTTATTTGTGTAGACGTTTCGCCAAGTCCAGTGGCTTTATCAATACAGATTTAGGACATAATAGTGAAGTGACAGTAGAAACTATATACAAAAGATGGAGTAATCAGTCCTCGGCTGTAACTCCAGAGGCAGCGGGACTGATTACCTCATCTTTTGTATTTGTTCTTACTGTCTTCTATTTATGTCCTAGATTCTGTATTGAAAAGCCTCTGGATGGCGAAACGTCTACTACAATAAAGATCATCCATATGTTGCCATGTGTCTTAACTTTCACAATTGGATTCTGTGCTCCAGTTCCCCGATTAAGCTGAATGCCTTCCTCATCCCCCCAGGGCTGTTAATCTTCGGGTTTTTTAGCGCTTCCCCCTTGATTATAATAATAATAATATAATTTAAAGATTACAATGTTGAATATACCATAATTGGTTGTCTTGTGTGGTTTACATGTAGGTTAAATAATGATACAGAGTGTACACTTAACGCCATATCCAGTGTCGCGCTAATCCTTAGTAAATAATGCATTTTGTTACTGGTACTCATCACTATTAATTATCATACCTCGTAACTGTGTAAATTATCAGGATAACTCCAAAAAACGTCACAAGTGACTTATTTTAACTTAATCCTTCCGTATTAGTATCCTTTACAAAAATGCCTACGTCTCTGCAGGGGCTCCCTGACGAAAATTAATGGAAAATAGTCAAGTATTTTCGAAAAACTCAAGACAACAGGAGAGCATGATGTAAGATAATTTCAATTTATAAATGAAGTTAGAAATCCATTTATTTTGATTTGATGGTATCATTGTTTCATGAGTCATAGATAAGTGACCACATTGTAGTTCATTAATAAAATAAAAATATTTTAGTCTGTTAAAATTTTAATATATAATGATTAATTGAAGATGTGGGCTTACTAGAGTGTAGTGACGAGGATGTAGCAGGCAGCAGTAACAGTAAGGTTGATCTGTTACTGTACAAGTGTGTTGTTACCTCTTTTGGCTGCTTCCTGTCCTTAGTTTCTGGTAAGTAAATGGTAATGTTTGAATGTTTTTTTTTATCGTCTTCGTGACATTATATACTCCAAATGTTTATGTTCACTACCATGGCAATGTTTACTATATGAATTTGAAGATAATTTCAAATTTCTTAGACAAGGTCTGGGTTGTTGTTACAGATTTGTTTATAGAGAGAAAGTGTTGTTTTGGTTTCACATTATGAATATTCTATGGCATCAGTACACTAAAACTGCGCTCTGGTGAAAGTTTTGACTATGCGTTCTTCATAATATAAGTGTAAGAGAGATTAAAGGTTGACATATTTCGAATATAAGAAGAAGCACTGCAGGAGGCTTACTGGCCCATATTAGGCATTAAAACTCGTGTTTACCATAAAAAGGTCATTAATTTTTTTATTTTGTCGAAATTGATTTCAAATGATACCACCATACTTTTCGATATAATTTTGCTAAACTTTATATATCGTCTCTGTTGTGTCTATACACGTTGTGTTCCTGTCTCCACGAACACTACGTACGCACCTACAAACTGCTGTTGTGGTAGTTGTTGTGTTTATTGCTGCAATAGTTGCTGCTGTTGCTGTGACTATTGCTGTGACTTAACATAAGAGATGGGAGATGGAGCGAAGGGAGTGGTAATGATGCATGGTAGTAAGGAGAGGTAAGGGGAGGTAGGAAGGAGAGATATTGGGGGGGGGGCGAGTGGACAGTTACCCAGACATCAACAACAACAACTTGCCTCGTTAAATTTGTTTATCACGAACTTCTTAAAGTGATGCAGTGCAGCAGTAACTTTATTCATATTTTATCCAGGTTCCTCTCTTTTTATCAGTAATATAAGGGCTTCAGGTAAGTGGATATATAAATACTGGTAGCGCTACCCCCCCCCCCGCCACCACAAGGTAGACACGATCATAAGAAACATAAGAAAGGTGGGAAAACACTCAGCAGAGCCTGTTGAGCCCATACTAGGAGGTCTTTTACTATTTCACAAACTCGTGCGGCCAAACAAAAACTAAGTTTAGCTACATTAATGTAACACTGATGACGTTGGCTAAATGTTGCTGGGAATGTGATTGCTTGCTGCTGTGACTTGTTGCTGTTTGCTGTGACTTGTTGCTGTAGCTGTGACTTGTTGCTGGTGCTAGTGCTTGTTGCTGCGTGCTGTGACATGTTGCTGCATGTGACGTTGTTGTGCTGTGACGTTGCTGTGCTGTGACGTTGCTGCGGCTGTGCTGTGACGTTGCTGTGCTACTGTGACGTCTGTTGTGCTACTGTGTCGTTGTTGCTGTGCTGCTTGACGTTGCTGCTGTTTGACGTTGTTGCTGCTGTGGACGTTGCTGCTTACTGTGACGGTGTGCTGCTGTACTGTGAGTTGTTGCTGCTGTGACGTTGTTTGCTGCTGTTGCTGTGGAACGTTGTTGCTGCTGTTTGCTGTGACGTTGTTGATGAGCTGTGCCTGTGACGTTGTTGCTGCTGCTGCTGTGACGTATGTTGCTGCGGCTGCTGTGACGTATGTTTGTTGCTGCTGTGCTGTGACGTTGTTTGCTGCTGCTGCAGTGAGACGTTGTTGCTGATGCTGCTTTGACGTTGTTGCTGCTGCTGCTTGTTGAAGTTGTTGCTTCTGCTGGCTTGCTGTGACGTTGTGATGCTGGTGCTGTGGCGTTGTTGCTGCTGCTGCTGTTGGACGGTGTTGCTGCTGCTGCTGTTGTGACGCTTGTTGCTGCTGCTGCTGGTGACGTTGTTGTGCCTGTGCTGTGGACGTTGTTGCGCTGCTGCTGTGACGTTGTTGCTGCTGCTGCTGTGACGTTGTTGCTGCTGCTGCTGTGACGTTGTTGCTGCTGCTGCTGTGACGTTGTTGCTGCTGCTGCTGTGACGTTGTTGCTGCTGCTGCTGTTTGACGTATTCCCCCCCCTCATTCGTTTGTCTGCTGCTGCTGGACGTTGTTGCTGCTTGCTGCTGTGACGTTGTTTGCTGTGCTGCTGGGACGTTTGTTTGCTGCTTGCTTGCTGTGACGTTAGTTTGCTGCTGCTGCTGTGATGGACGTGTTGCGCTGCTGCTTGGTCGTTGTTGCTGCTGCTGCTGTGAACGTTGTGTGTGCTGCTGTGACGTTGTTGCTGCTGCTGCTGTTGACGTTGTTGCTGCGCTGCTGTGACGTTGCTGCTGCTGCTGTGACGTTGCTGCTGCTGCTGTGACGTTGCTGCTGCTGCTGTGACGTTGGTTTGCTGCTGTGACGTTGTTGCTTCTGTTGTACGTGGTTTGCTGCTGCTGCTGATGTCGTTGTTGATGCTGCTGCTGTGACGTTGTTGCTGCTGCTGCTGTGACGTTGTTGCTGCTGCTGTGACGTTGTTGCTGCTGCTGTGACGTTGTTTGTGCTGCTGTGACGTTGTTGCTGCTGCTGCTGCTGTGACGTTGTTGCTGCTGCTGCTGCTGTGGACGTTGCGGCTGCTGCGATGCGTGACGTGTGTTGTCTTTTTTTTTTTGTTGCTGCTGCTGCTGTGACGTTGTTGTTGTTGCTGCTGCTGCTGTGACGTTGTTGTTGTTGCTGCTGCTGCTGTGACGTTGTTGTTGTTGCTGCTGCTGCTGTGACGTTGTTGTTGCTGCTGCTGCTGTGACGTTGTAGGTTGTGCTGCTGCTGTGGACGTTGTGTTGCTGCTGCTGCTTGTGCGTTGTTGTTGCTGCTGTGCAGTGACGTTCTTTTTGCTGTGCTGCTGTGAACTTTCTTGTTTGCTGCTGCTGTGACGGTTTCTTGTTGATGCTGCTGCTGTGGACGTTCTTGTTGTGATTGTTGCTGTGACGTTTCTTGTTGCTGATGCTGCTGTGACGTTCTTTGTTGATGCTGCGCTGTGACGTTTTGTTGCTGCTGCTGCTGTGACGTTCTTGTTGCTGCTGTACTGCTGTGACGTTCTGGTTGCTGTGCTGCTGTGACGTTCTTGTTGCTGCTGCTGCTGTGACGTTTTGTTGATGCTGCTGCTTGACGTTCTGTTGCTGCTGCTGTGTGACGTTCTTGTTGCTGCTGCTGCCTGTGAGTCTGGTTGCTGCTGCAGCTGTGGACGTTCTTGTTGCTGCTGCTGCTGTGACGTTCTTGTTGCTGTAACTGCTGCTGGGAGTTTTGTTGCTTGGGCTGCTGCTGCTGTGACGTCTTGTTGCTGCTGTGCTGTGGACGTTTTGTTGCTGCTTGCTGCTGTGTCGTTTTGTTCACAATGCTGTGCTGCTGTAGACATGATTTCTTGTTGCTGCTGCTGCTGTGGGCGTTCTTGTTGCTGCAGTATGCTGTGACGTTCTTGTTGCTCGCTGCTGCTGTGACGTTCTTGTTGCTGGCTGACTGCTGTGGAGTTCTTGTTGCTGCTGTGCTGGTGACGTTCTTGTTGCTGCTGCTGCTGTGGACGTTATTGTTGCTGCTGTGCTGTGTGTTCTTTGTTGCTCTTGCTTTTTTTTTTGCCTGTGATCGTTCTTGTTGCTGCTGCTGCTGTGACGTTCTTGTAGTGCTGCTGCTGTGACGTTTCTTGTTTGCTGGCTGCTGCTGTGACGTTCTGTTGCTGTTCTTTGTGCTGTGTGTCTTTGTTGCTGTTGATGCTGCTGTGACGTTCTTGTTGCTGCTGCTGCTGTGCACGTTCTTGTTGCTGCTGTGCTGTGAACGTTCTTGCTTCTGCTGGCGTGCTGGTGACGTTCTTTGCTGCTGCTGCTGCTGTGACGTTTCTTGCTGCTGATGCTGTGACGTTCTTGATGCTGCTGCTGTGAGTTCTTGCTGGCTGTGCTGGTGACGTTCTTGTTGCTGCTGCTGTAGAGGTTCTTGTTGCTGCTGCTGCTGCTGTGACGTTCTTGCTGCTGCCCTGCCCTTGTATCGTGTGTGTTCTGATTCGTGGCGCGTCCATCGACTGCTGTGGCGTTCTTGTTGCTGCTGCTGTGACGTTCTTGTTGCTAGCTGCTGTGACGTTTTGTTGATTGTGCTGCTGCTGCTTGGTGGACCGTTCTTGTTGCTGCTGCCGGTTGACGTTCTTGCTTGTGCTGCTGTGACGTTATTGCTGCTGTGCTGTGACGTTCTTGTTGCATGCTGTGTGACGTTTCTTGTTGCTGCTGCTGCTGCTGTGCGTTTTGGGTGTGTGCTGTGTCGTTCTTGCGGCTGCTGTGTGACCGTTCTTGTTGCAGCTGCTGTGACGTTCTTGTTGCTGATGCTTGTGCTGTGGACGTTCTTGCTGCTGTGCTTGTGACGTTCGTGCTCTGCTGCTGTGACGTTTTGGCTGCTGCTGTGTGTTCTTGTTGGCTGCTGCTGCGTGACGTTCTTGTTGCTGTGCTGCTGTCTGCTGATTGACGTTCTTGTTGCTGCTGCTGTGACGTTTCTTGCTGCTGCTGTGTGACGTTCTTGCTGCTGCCTGCTTTGTGACGTTCTTGTTGCTGCTGCTGTGACGGGGTTTTCTTGTTGCTGCTGCTGTGACGTTTCTTGTTGCTGTGCTGCTGCTGTGGTCGTTCTAGCTGTGCTGACTGTGAGTTTTGCTGCTGCTAGCTTGACGTTCTTGTTGATGCTGCTGTGACGTTCTTTTGCTGTGCTATGTGGGACGTTCCTTGTTGCTGCTGCTGCTGTGCCTGTAAGTTCTTGCTGCTGCTGCTGTGACGTTCTTGCTGCTGCTGCTGTGACGTTCTTGCTGCTGCTGTACTGTGACGTTCTTGCTGCTGCTGCAGTGACGTTCTTGGTTGCTGCTGCCTGTGACGTTCTTGTTGCTGCTGCTGCTGCTGTTGACGTTTCCTTGCTGCTGCTGCTGTGAAAGTTCTTGTGCTGCTGCTGTGACGTTCTTGTTGTGATAGGCTGTGGACGTTCTTGGTGCGGCTGCTGCTCGCTGACGTTCGTGTTGATGCTGCTGCTGCTGCTTGTGACGTTCTTGTTGCTGCTGCTTGTGACAGTTCTTGCTGCTGCTGCTTGTGACGATCTTGCTGCTGCTGCTGTTCTGAGTTCTTGGTTGTGCTGCTGCTGCTTCTTGTTGCTGCTTAGCTGCTGCTGTGACGTTCTTG